CATTCCATCTGCCTTTGAACACTAATGATGCTATCAGATGTGAAATGTCCTCTAAGGGGCTTCATTTGAACAACAAAGAAAAAAAAGTCTTAACACTTGTTGCTCCCTACTTGCAGTTGATCTTCTGTGTCAATTTACCAAACAGCAAGTCTCCTAGCAATGACAGCTTTAAACATGCCTGGCAGGGGGCATGGTTAGGATTAAGGCTAGGAAAACATTCTAAACCAGGTGACTGCTGTGGGTCTTGATGATGTTACAGTGTTTTTCTTTGTAGTTAAGAGTCTGATCTTTCTAGGAGTCCTTCCAATCTCTACAGTACCAGCATGCAAGCAGGTGGGTCTAGGGCCGGGGATCAGTTAGTTTCACAGTGGAGATTGTTTGTTTGTTTTTTAATGTAAACTCAGTCAATTGGTGAATTTTCTCATGTCTCAGAACTCCTGCTGAAGGAGTCTTTTGAAAATGTGACCCACAGACACTCGAATGAGTGCAGCTTTCTTTCTGTGTAAACAGAAATGTGTGTGATCCATACCTACAGAGTTTGGGAGTTATATGTTTATACAACTGGCAACATTCTAGGGGAGCAGTAATTGGGAGACAAAATAAACAAATGCCTCCAGGGGTTTGACAGTACTCAACAGCTTGTTTCCAGCAAACCTAGTGCTTCCCCAACAATCATCCTGTACATATATGTATATATAGTCATGCTCTTTAACAGGTGAGTGACCAAACCACCATCCGGATTCATCCGGACTTTCCCAACATGAGGTTACCTTATCCACCCTTTGCCCTAGGCATCCCCATGTGTAACTGCTGTATATTTGATCTTGATAAACCCTTCCCTTGTCAAGGTCAACTGAATCTTGGAAGATGATGCCCCTCTCCTCACATACATATTATGCTGCCTTCAGGAGTACTTGTTGTATGGCAGAAGAAGTAGGCATCCTGGACCAAAGCCGTGCTAAGCCTTTTAGATTCTAATGCCTCTTCAGTATATATAATCAGGGAGATCAGAGGAAGGATTTAGTTAGAGATGTACAGAATCCGAAGAAGTGGGCTGTAGTCCACGAAAGCTTATGCTCTAATAAATTTGTTAGTCTCTAAGGTGTCACAAGTACTCCTGTTCTTCTTTTTACAGAACACTTAAACATTTGACAGCTAGGGGAACCTCAAATGTGTAGCTTTGGTGTGCAAGAACTTTACCTCTTCACATTTCAGCCATGCAATTAGCATGAACATCTGCCCAGATTGAATACTAATTAAATGTATAAAACTGGCTGGGCAAAATGTAGCCCCACTCTACTCCGATGGATAAATTCAGGCTGGTCTGGAAAAATGCATCCTATGGTAGCAGGGGATAAGACAAACTGAGTTCCTGACAGTTTACGTTTTACTGTTATAATTAACACAACCTAAAACCAAATGTCAAGTTCGTGCAGAGAACATATATTGTGTGTTTGTGTTTAACAATCCAGCTTCTTACTGTCGTATAGCTTTTGGAACATACTTAGTTTAATCACGTACCATTATGCACAAATACTCATATCATGAGGATTCCATTGCATTAATGGTTTTATTCAAAATTATGCTCTAGCTTTGTTATATTATTTATATATTTTACAATGTTATTTCTTCAAGTGTTCATGTAGCTGAGCTTTGTTATGCGCTGGTGTGTGCAAAATATGATCATGTACAATTAATAATGGGTATGTCCCTAATCCATGTTATCTGAGCTGAATGTAACTTGCTGGACAATTGTTTTGAATGTATAAGTGCTCAGTAATTCTGCCCATGACCTGATCACCATCTCACATCTACCTTTCAGCTGTGAGTCACGGACACCTCACTGTCCCAGAGAAAAGTGTGGACTGGCCAGTAAACTGTAGATATTACTATTAATTAGAGCCCAGACTGTCCTGCCCCAACATGGTCTAAGGCAGAAGCCACATCTCATGTATGTTCCACAAGACCCTGACTCAGGCTACTGTCCTACTGTGGATTGAATTCTGTCTCCACTCTCCCTGAGCCACCTTCCCAATACTAATTTGAGACCGAACCCTCTAGACATAGGCTAGCAATAAATATTTCCACATTCAACCTGTAAAGACTCCCAGTATGTTCCCAAATTGAGCTTGAGATAACCCCCTACCCGATATAGTCTGGCTGTATGATTTACCATCATAAAATCCAAGACCATACAACTGTAATTCATCTACAAAATGGGGAAGAAAATTCTTTATCGTGTGATAACTAGTGGGGGGTCTCCTACCCACTGAGAGTGGATAAACAGAGTTCAGGTTGGTGTTGAAACATAGCTGTATTTCCTGACTTGCTGGGAGGTAGGTGTTTTACACTACTGGTCCCACATTCTAGCTTCCTGACTCTCAAACATTTGTTGTTAATGTTACCTTTGAATTTCCTTCTAACTACATATTTTTAATAGCTACAACGACCTATTGTTTTACATGAATAGTTATGCCTTTCCAAACGTAAGTGTATCTTACTGAAGACTTTCCTCTTCTAAATACGTAAATCAAATACCTGCAGAAGGCTAAGGTAAGTTAATGCAACACTTTGCTTGTAACAAACTGATCTGGTGCATGGTAAGGGAAGGAGAGCTATTTTCTTATGGTCTCTTGTGTAACCCACACACCTTCTGGGTGTGATGTTCTGTCCCATCTAGTGGCACCGAGACCATTTAGAAAGAGTTAATTGAGTTTGCTCTACAGCCTTAGCCAATAGCCATGTAGAGCATGGCTTTTAGCTCATGCAGTAGAGGCTCATGCACTAAGCTCCAGAGGTTGCCGGTTCGATGCCAATGACCGGGGTCTGTCGGTGTTACACATGGAGTAAAATTGAATGTTGACTGGGTACAAATGTGCAGGACACACAGTTACCCTTCCGTTTTTGAACAAAGGAGGAATAGCTCAAGTACACATGCCACAGGAATTGAGGGAGTGGTAACACTTTCCTCACCATTAAGTTTCTTTTTAAATTAAAAATGACTGTTGCTTTACCCCCAGCATACAGTATATGTATGTCACAAGGCAGCAAAATTAGCCTAGTCATGGAAGCCAGTGTTGTCAGAGCAGCAAGAGGCTTTCATGAAAGGTTTGGGTTTGGTTGTCTTATGATAATATCCTGCACAGACTGGCAATGTGTTAAAGCACCACTCAGCTCTCAAGTCTGATTTTGAAAAACTTTTTGGGGCAGATTATGGCCAGCTTTTTGTGGATGAAGGAAGTGGGAGGGCTAGAGAGTAACGGGATCTTGCACAGGTGTTAACCACATTGTAAGTGGGGAGCAGAGCCATTGTTCTTTGCTCAGGGTCAGCAGTGGCACTAGTCTCCCCAAATGGGGTACAGCCAGGCTGCGGAGTACAAGGGGAAGGGACTGTGAAGTTGTCATTTTCCCCTTTCAGATGTGCTCGGCAACTCTGATGCACTGGAGCAGAAGAAGGAATGCTGGATTAGTTAACCAGACTTCTAGGGCTTCTCACTACAAACTGTCACTTTGCAAATCCATCCTCAGCACATGGCTGTGCCTTTGAAGGCATGATCCGTTTGTTTATTTTAGGGGTTTGTGCTGCTGCCCACGACAGTAGCATCTGAGAGAAGATTAACAACAATTCTCTCTACCTGTAATAGTGTTGTTTTCTTTCTGCTCCTAAAAATTACTTGGACTTACATGAAAACAGGATCTTTATTTTGTAAAGATTCATTTAAATCTGCTCCAGAAATCTTCATCCTCTGTCTGTGACATCACTATTAGCATCAGTGGAAATGACCAGTTTTACAAACAAAGGATAAGGACTTCTGGAGCAGAGGAAATTAATTCTTACAAAATAAAATATTCTGTTACATGCAAATGGCCCTAGTAACCAACCAACCAACCAACCAACCAACCAACCAAAAGAAAAGGTGTGGGGGTGGGGAGGAAAAAAGATAGACATGATTGTTTTTAAAGACTGTGATTTTAAAGGTTTTCTACAAAGCAACTGCAGCTCTTTAAAGATCAGTCCCAGCATTTATCGATTTACTGTATCACCTTTTTATTGATTATCGTAAGATCAATTGTTTTTTTAACTCCAGCTGCACCTGGTTCTCTGACCTTCCTGGAACTCTGAGCAGTATGGCTGTTATCATTCTACTCTTTAATTTAAAAAAAGTTACACAGGGTTTCCATGGGATTTGACAATCTATTTATGCTTAAACATGGTTGTACCAGAACCAGTTATAACACAGTTTGGACAGCCAGTACAAAATTGTTTGAATTGACTTAAAGATTTGTTCTAACCTATGCCAGGACTAGCATGTTTTTTAAAACGGGTGATCAGTTTGGGCTGGTCAGTATAGGCTTGTCAAACCACACTGTAACCTAGGTTACCCTTGTTTAAACCATGCATAAGCACTGTAGACTGAGCCCCAATTGCTAGTTAACGATCATCCTGTTTTAACAAGTATTTGGGCACAGGTGCTTAGACGCCACAGTGCTGAGCACAGTAATTAGGGAAGGAAATAAATATTGTTTGAATTCCCTTGAGTTCAGTAAACCAGGATATAAAATAGAACACTCCTCAGAGAAAGGACTGCAGATTACATTTCACTGTCTTTTGATGAGATTTAGGCACCAAAGTCATTTAGATGACTAAAAATTATCCCATCCCATCTCCTAGAACTGGAAGGGACCTTAATGGTATAAATACCAGACTGCACTGTACTAAAAGACTATATTCCTATTAATTGCAACCGCATTTAGATAAAAGCACACTTAAATATCCCACTAAAATTCAAATGGGCAGGGTAAAAGAAGAGTTATTAAGCAGGGTTCTATATGCAAACAATGCAAATCCATATCTGTGTCACAGTTGTGTCTTTCCAACATTTGACCATTGTTTTAAGGATGACAATTTTGCATCCCTACAATCCTAGTGATAGAATTCCAGATATAGAGCTGCTCCTCTGGAAAGTCAGGCAAGGGGCCAGAGTTAGAAAAACCCAACACAATAGTAATTTGTTTATTAAACAAAAGAATATTCTGCTGAGGTACAGGTGGCAAGAGAGGTTAAAACAAAAATGTACAAAAAGAAATCAATGAGGTTAATTAAGAAACACTGAGCTTCAAAGAGACTGCTGCCAACACAATGGAAAGCAATCAGGCATTCATCAAACAGTATCATCTTCTCCCACACTCCCTACAAGAGGACTGAAGACATAAGTTATCATTTATGCCTCCAGGAAATATATAGGATGTGACAGATGACAAGGCCCCAACCAAACCCTGGAGCAAATAGTGATGCACTCCATGCAGTGGTTAATCAAGGGTCATGGCAATGGGAGAGATAACATTAAGCTTTATGCAGATGCAAACTACCAGCCCTGGTAGATAGGAGAGTTTCTGGATAACCTGTCATCATTGGTAGTGTTACCTTCAGAGAGCATGCTTAAGGCCTCGTCAGTCTGCTGGCTGCTGGCTGCTGTTGTCTTCTTCGAGTCGTGGATGTTGCTTTGGTAGTTCACAGAGGAGCCAATGGCAGAAGGGTAGCCATTGTCAGCAACAGCTGATGTGGACATTGATTCCCACGGTATTTCTCTCTTTTGCCATTTCAGGTTCAGTTTCCACCCGGTCCAGCCATAAAAAGTGAGTGTGAAGAGAAAGCCTTGCATTGGATTCAGCACTCCCTGGAAGAGACAAGAAAGGAGAATTGCAATGGGAATTAAAATCAACAGAGTGGTGAATTTCAAGTACAGTGAAACCATTCCTGTGCATTAAGGCTACATCTACGCGGCAAAAAAAAATTCACGACACCAAGTCTCAAAGCCTGGGTCAGCTAATTTGGGCTCGCAGGGCTGCGGGCAATACAATTGCAGCATAGACATTAGGGACCAGGCCAGAGCCTGGGTTCTGAGATAGCCCCATAGCCCACACCCCACAAGCCCAAGTCAGCTGGCCACGGGTCTTTTATTGCAGTGTAGACATACAGACTTTCTTCACAGTGAACAATTGCTGCCTTGAGAGATGTTGTAAAACTCACCCATCTGCATCCAGATGAAAGTACATGTTATGTTTCTTCTAGCCACAAGCAAATCCAGGGAAGAAACCAAAGCCCTTGTTCTGGTACACAATAACTCTGAGAACACAAGGGGTCAAATGCTTGCCTGGTTTGACTTCAGCTACTCAGTGGAGTTGTATCAGGGATAAATATGGCCCTCACTGTGCTTTAACAGTCTCCACTGTGTCTTATGAATTTTATTTTGCATGAGCAATTTTTCAGTGAAAGCAGAGCCAAACATACTGAGAGCAGCCACTCACAGATAACCAAGTTCTTAAACAGTGATCAATCAGTTTGTAACTGCTGCTGACTCATGAACAAGTCCATCTTGGTTGGATTAAAAAACTGGGCAGCTGAGACAGTCTCTCAAAAATCACCTCTGTCCCCACTTCCTTGGATATTTGGCAAGTAAATGCTTCGGATGTTTCTATTTTTCTCGTGGGAAATCAGCACTTTATTTTTATAGCCAGCTTACAAACAGTTCAATTCCTAGACTTGACCTCTTGCCCTCCAGGCCAGCAAGAGCTGAGAGCTGTGTCACGTGAGTGTGTTCAGCCCTTGGGAGAGAAGGGGGCACCATGTGAGTGGCATCGCTTAACCCTTTAATACAGGATGAAACCTGGAAATGGAGAGGTACATATTTGAGGGTGCCTGATTGCTTGTCAGAGGGTAGCAGGGTGTGCTGGGGGAGTGGGAAGAGGAGTAATTTATCCCTTGTAACACTAATGTAGGATAAAATCTGGAAAGAGAGAATTAGGTATGCAGAGATAGAGGTGTCAGGGTATTGTGTGTGTTCTGGGAATGGGGGAATATTCCATGCACAGGAGATGTACATTCATCCATAATACTTCAGGCCAGATTAGCCAGGTTCAGCTGCAAAAATTGAAAGGTTAATACTGATGCTCTACTGACTGGTAGATTTAGAAACGATGTTGTAAAGAAGCCCCGGCGAGTCCTCTGTGGGCAGAGGGCTGTAGCCAAGGCGCACATACAAAAATAGAGGAGACCGTTTTAAGAGAAGAAAAATTGGTGGTAACATGAGTTAAACTTGCAAGAGAAGCAGTGGATTCTCCAGCTCTTGACATCTTCACATCAAGACTGGATGCCTTTCTGGAAGATATGCTTTGGCCAAACAAATTATTGGGCCCAGTACATGGATAACTGGGTGAAATGTAATGGTCTGTGATATACAGGAGGTCAGACTAGATGATCGAATGGGCCCTTTTGGCCTCAAATTCTATAAATCTCTGTAAGTTTTCCAGAAAGTGGGAAGGGAGGGAATTATTCACAGCTAGAGCTATGCCATAACTCCAACTAAAAGAGTTTTAGTGCCTTTCATGTGTTTAATGTTCACTTAATTAAAACTCTCATCCAAATATACCCTTGACCCTCCGCTAGAAAATTTTTCTGCAATTTCAAAAAGAAAAACAAAGAGCGTGTTTTTACTAAGAGGCTTTGCAGATATTTAAGATCTCCCCAAAGAAGCTACCTGCATCATCAGCTCCAGAATATCCTCTTTTGACTATTCCAGGAACATTACGCTTATGGGGTGATAGGGAAATTACAGTCCAGTAACGGTCCAAAATACTTTAGTAGTGTTCCTACAGTATTTTGGATCATTGCTCTGAAAGACCAATATATTTTTCTCTTGTATATACAGATGTTTTCTACATAGCGGCTTTAAAGAGCAAAGAAAATAATCTTAGTTACAAATACAGGCTGAAATTGTTAGTAAGCACCCAAGTTGTTAGCCCTGTATTCAGGAATCACTGGTGAAAACTCTGTAGTCTGTTATTCAGGAAGACACAGTAGATGATCATAACGGTCCTTTCTGGTTTTTAAAATGAATGAATCACCTTGACTTCAGTAGGGATGCACAGAGGATCAGTCAGGGCAAAATTTATCCCTTAGTTCTTCTTTCAGAGTTTCATATGAAGAATAGTTCCTGTAATTTTGAAAATGTTCTCCCATTTATTTATTTTTTTGTATCGAAGGGAGATTATATTTTGAAAGAAATAAACACTCATTACATTGGTGCTGCTGCCTGTCATACAGAAGCTACTTCCAAGACTAATAAAAATCATGGTTGACCTACCATTATAATCCATGTGATCAGTGCAGCATTTCTAACATTTTTCAGGGGACTTCCATTGATATCTGGCTGCATTTCAAGGTAGAACAACAGGCTCTCATTGACGATATTCGGTAACCAGCTGTTGCAGGGATAAAGAGGATGAAAAGAAAAAGACAGATTTGTTTGTATATACAGTGGTTTTGTTACCAAAGCGTAATTGTGGTGATTGTTGGCAGGGAGAGGGAGAAGTCTGTTTTTTGAAGCTTGTAGCCAACAATATGAAGGAGCAGCAGGTTTGGGAGAATATGATCAGGAAACAAAATCCCTTTCCTAACCCAGCCTGAGACAAAGAAATAGACATAACCAAACGGAATGAAATCATAGCATTCCAGCCTGCTGCAGGCTGATAAAATGCAGAATTAAATCAAGTTGATTAGCAAACACAAGACTAGAATGTACTACAGTCTACAATGGGGAATGTCATCATCAGCACCTTCTTATATTTGCAGCCTTTGATGTGGTGTACCAGGCATTTGCTGCTTCTTGCCAAAGGCCTCACTGTCTTAGCAAACCCTGCAGAAGAAGGTGCCTTGCCAGAAGGGAAGGACATTGATTTCAGACATTTATGGATTGCCTAGAGCAGTGTTTCCCAAACTTGGGACGCCGCTTGTGTAGGGAAAGCCCCTGGCGGGCCGGGCTGGTTTGTTTACCTGCCCCATTCGCAGGTCCGGCTGATCGCGGCTCCCACTGGCCGCGGTTTGCTGCTCCAGGCCAATGAGGGCTGCGGGAAGCAGCACGGGCCGAGGGACGTACTGGCTGCCACTTCCAGCAGCTCCCATTGGCCTGGAGCAGCGAACCGCAGCCAGTGGGAGCCGCGATCGGCCGGACCTGCGGACACGGCAGGAAAAAAACCCGGCCGGGCCCGCCAGGGGCTTTCCCTAAACAAGCAGAGTCCCAAGTTTGGGAAACACTGCTCAGAACTGTCCCTTAATGATAGCCTCAACAGCAACACTGAAAATGGCGTTAAGCAGTGAATCCCAG